AACAAGTAATACTTAAAACGGCAAATTTAAAATTCTTTTTCAGTTCTTAGTTAATTACTACTCATCTGCATTTCTATCTTGTGTTTCATAATTTAATTGTGATGTTTCTAAATATTTTTTTTATTAAACAATATTTTATTCACTGTTGTTATCGTAAATACGATTGGGCAGCAGGCGCAGCCTATTGTTTAGCCCTCTCCCTGATTTTGTAAATGATTTATACTCTGTAAAAATTATCATTCCTACCATGGAAATTTAAAAAAATAAAGGCGCATTTAGATAAATCATTAAGAGAGTGTCTTTGAAAGTAAAGTTATATGCTCTGTGTTATAGCCTTCAGAATTGCAACGAGATCAATAGAAAATCAATAAAATAAATCAGATTGGTAGTAGTGTATAATTATTTTAATGTTCACATTTACATATCAACAGAAATATATTAATCACCTGCTTAATCTGTGAAAAAAATGAAATCAATAAAAAATCAATCAAATCAATCAAATTAGAAAAAGAAAATATTTTTGAGTGAGGCCAAAATTGAGGCCAAAAATTTTTACAGAGGCCAAATTTGAGGCCAGGCCAACTTTTGAGGCCAGGCCAAAATTTGGTTTGAAGCCAAATTAGAGGCCAAAATAGAGGCCAGGCCAACTTAGAGGCCAGGCCAGGCCAAAGGGGCCAGGCCAGGTTTTAGAGTATGCCCCTATTAGTAGCATAGCTTCTTCACCCCCTGTTATAATTGTGGGTTCTGGGATTGCAGGAGCATGGAGTCAGTTTACACCCAATGTGCCAAACTATGACAAGCTTCTCTTTGAAGTGGATGAGAAGTCAGATAATGAAGAGAGAGCTCGGACAGACAGGTGATGGACCACTATCCAGAAGTCAGAACTCCTGTTTTGTTTTCACGGCTCACAGTCATAAATCTCGGCTGCATGCCCCCACATCCCCCCAGATTTTTTACGCTGATGATCAGCGGAGAGTTTTTTGCTTGGCTCCTTATCTGTGAAGCATTAACTGGCTATCATTATTTAGAAATACGGAGGTATACATCAAAGGCTTCCATTGTTATCATTGAATGCTGGAATAATGTAAGACGGTCATAAATCCAGAGTGAGACCATTAACGGGGAAAGATTGGTTTATGGAAGGTGGAATGGGGGAAAATAAAATGTATTCAAAGATTAGATTGTAGAAAAATCTCGGCTTGATTGATCTTAGATAATCAGCCAATCAAAATCTGCTGCACTATATGACCTTAATGACAAGTTGACCTTCATCTGGTGACCATTTTATTTGACTTTTGTTTGTTTTTCAGGTTGAGCCACAAAGTGTAGCGGCACATGACAGGAAGAATCCGGGAGGGAGACCAGGTTCTACAGGTATATAAGGAAGAAAACATGAGGAGGGGGGGGGGGGGGTTGGTAGGGTTAGAGGTTGTTCAGTGACAACTCCACCCTCCAGGGGAAGTACCCTCAGTATCAAATACATATTCTAGAGACCACCATAAACCAGTGAAAGCCATCCCCATCACACACTCTCAAGCAAAGCAAAAGGGCCCCTCAACATAACATAAAAATACTGCTGAAAAATTATCATGAAATATTGTTAAGATTTAGAATGAACCACTTGTAAGATTTGATATCTGTGATATGTGAATTTGTTTCAACAATGTATGTCCTTAAAAGGAAATGGAACTAATCTGATGTTTATTTGGATAATTAGAGTGATAAGATCAGTAAATGAGCCTGTGGCTAAGATCAGGACAAGATACATTGCTAGATATCACTCAGATCTGATTTTATATTAATAACTATAGTCCTCTGGTCGCTAATTAAATCACACAAATTCCAGGGTAAATTAAGTATTTAATTGATATTTACCATTAACTTGCATCTCTAGCCTTTGATCTTCCATTTCTCCCCTATCTTTAGGATTCTGATGTGTATATAAGAGTAGATGTACTGAATTTCAGGGAGGATAGAAATGATTGAATATTGATTGGCCATGTGACTCGGTGCAGGACAGAAAAGTACAAGCCCACATCAATTACAGCTATTTAGACTCTTACTGGTATTTAATGAAGCCATTAAAAGGATTCTGAAAAGCTTTTTCTTCATCATACCATTATGCAAGTTATTGAAAGTTGTTGCATAAAAATTTCCTGAAAAGCATTTGTCTGGAATGGGAAATCCATAACCTGCAGAATAGGTGTCCTGCCAATCTCGGTCGCCATAAAGGGAGTGAGTACCAGACAATTTCCTGTCATCTCTCGGAAATCGCAGTATTCATGCGCTTTTAATAAGGGCCTTAGACTGATCAATCGTTGATGTAAATGTTCAAATGTAGATATAATTTAGAAAACCGTCCCCTGGTCCTGTCTGATTGGTTTTTCAAAAAAAACCTGGTACATCGTTAATTTTAAAACCTATAGACTTAAATCTTGTGCACTAGCTCTGTCATTAAAGTCTGTTATGTATTCTGGGGTAAAATTGAGATGATTATATTGAAAAAGATGACATTATTGTCTGGAAAAATAAATTTCTAAAGATAGCAATCATTGAATGTTTGGAGGGAAGTGGGGACCTGCTGGGATGGTTTGACAGTATTGTACTGTAGCGAGGTGTATGTACACAGAGGCAACCCGCCACTAAAGATAATACCACAACACCACGTGGTGGGTCCCCAGCCCCAGGCCAGTAATACCTGATATAATGACAATAAACAGATCTATGTAATAATTCCCTTCATCTTGTGGAATTCAGAGGTTTGCTAATTAGGTATTAGTCACTCTTATCGTATTCTGCAGAGCTAACGTTGTGTTGGAGATTATTTTGGAATCAGTCCTGTTTTCTTACATGAAATGATCTGCTAATTGCAGGCTCGTAGCCCAAATCTTACATCTCCTGACATTAATGTCTGCAGTTGGTGAGTTTGAACAACTTGTAAATCCAGGAATGGCCATTATATATAAATCCAGGTCAGATTAGAGGCATGTGGCTCGTATCAAGGGTCTACCAAAAAATGTAAACCATGCTAAAAACGTGGAAATGGAACAGAATTGTTTTGGCAGGAAGGACAATATAAGCCCAGCTCAACATCAGATCAGCTTACATGTAGAAAGGTAGAAATGAGAGGAGACTAGTGAAGTCAGAAAATTATATACATTTTTTTTCTTGTTTTAGGTGAATGGAGTAGATGTGAGAAGCAGGGACCAAGCCATTCAGCTATTCTCAGAAAGAGGCTCGGAAATCAAGCTTCTGCTGGCCCGTCCACAATTACAGGTAAATGTTGTCACTATCACAGAGAAACAAAGGAACAGGCTTCTTCTCTGATGTCTCAGTAGTAACTTAACTAAGCCCTGGGAAATAGGAAATAGATGTCACATGTCTAGCAGTAAAGGGAGGAAACTCTATTATCTCTGAAGGTCATACATTCTCTTCTCTGGCCAAGGGTTTTCATCATGGGGAGTACAATGGTCCAAATACCCTGCATGACTATAGTGAAGATGTGTATCATTAGAATAATTTATAAAATTGACAATTCAACACTTGTCAGAGTGCATACATGTTAAAAATTAAATATTTTACACTAACATACAAAGTTCTTTCACACACGTAATTTTATACCCTCTCAAGTCCTCATACAATGTAAGGGCTGCTGAATACTACCAGGGGTTCACAGCTTTGATATTGTATTGGGTTGCAACTTTGCCATTTTCTGTCAAATTATAATTTAAAGGTGTTGTGTCAGAATTGACAAAGACTAGGGGGAGTCATGGGGAGGGTTAATGGCCCACTCAAGGAGGCAGGGTACTCCACCGAATACACAGGACCTCAATTAATTATCAGGTTTATAGGTTCTTTTGTGAGGTCTTATAAAGTTTTGAGAAATGTTGACACAAGTCGTTGAGGCAATGTAGAATCATTGTCAGCCGACGTCTGGGTAAGGAATCGGGTCGTATGATCAAGGTGCTCACATTTCTGTGGAGTAAATCCTGGCTTAATCCCACAGTCAGGTGATCAGACATGTTGTTTGTTTAGCTTCGACATAAACAGTTGTTCCCAATGTCTTTTCATGTTGGATTGTCTGAAAATCAGTGAAGTTCGGGGTTGTCGTGTTTAGTATAGATCTGGGTCATGAATCCTAACCTGTGTCTGTTCTGTTTAGAGTCCCTCACAGTTAATCGCTATCGACTGTCATGCTGCGATTTCAAGTGACGGAAGATCAGGTGTGGATCAGACAAAAAACAGATCACAGGTGATCTTACCCTAAAAAGGCTTAACATATCCGAATATTGGGGTGTATTGTCATTAAACACCTGTGGCATGGGGAGGGGGAAATTAAGTTTCACAGGAAAACGGAGTTGTTTTATTTGAAAGTTTTCCTTTAAGCATGATAAGTAGCATAGTATTAACAAGCAGAAATTCTGTGGTTTAGAAATATAATTTTTGGACTTTTAAATGTAGTTATGGTATTTAAAATTAATTTTCTTAGGCCATTCTAATTAATGGTTAAATTTTCAAAGATCCCAAGTCAGCTGATCACTGACAGACAGACAGACATATGTGCAGCGTGTTGCTTACTCACAGAACAGGCTTCAAAACCAGGTGCCCTCAAATATGCCAAGAAATGCCATCTTATCAGGGAACATTTTTTTTATGATTTTGAGAAGTACTTAGATATCTGGATTAGAGGCCCTGTGACAAATAACCATTTAACCAGATGCAGGTGTTTTGGTCATAAATTAAGTTAAGGAGGATATTTCTCATCTCCACTAACAAACGGGGAGAAAACACCTTATAAAAAATAAATTCCTCTCTCTGACAGAAGAACAGCTCGTAGTTATGGTTCACAGGCTGTGTTTTTTATGCTGTAGATATAATTAGGGCAGTGTGACCTGATTCTGACGTGGTAGTTATGTTTTTATAAATCAGTGTTAGTGGCCCCCCTAATGAGAGGGGGAGGGGGAGATGTGTGGCCCCCACATCAACTGCTGACATCGGCTAAACATTACCCCCTGACCTTAGTGTTAGCTCTGCCTTTGAGGCGGGACATCTGCTGGGATATACTTGTGATTTATAAACTGTTCTGAGCTTGACTCTAATTCATTTACTAGCCTCCTAATGATGTTTGTAAGAATCCCATTTTTTTTGTGAAGGATAAAAGAAATATGTTAATATAATGTGAAATTGTCAGTTATGTATGGAACTCCTTTCAGTGAAGTTTGGTTGACCTTCAGAAAAAGAGTATAATGTATAAAATCCAACTTAATGGCTAATTAGTTCTTTGCACTTGTTTGCCCTTTTGATGATTTCGACCACAAAACCTCAGCATCTTCACGGACAATTAACACTTCACAAATACATATCTGTTAGCACAGCTGACCTCTATAACCCGAGATCAAAGGCCGAGGTCTATCATCTAATTACACTACAATGTGTGGACATGCACATAATGATTTCTTCTGCACACCTCGTACATTCTTCTGTTAAACATTATCTGTCTGTTTTCTTTTCCTTGCTGGGCATTTCTTACCTCTGAACGAGCCTGGTTTAATGTTCAGAGAAAATAGATGAACAGACTAAAACTGGTGAAAACACACAAAGTCAGAGATAAAAGAGAGCAGCCCTGATATTGAAAACAAACTCAGTGGTCTGCCATTGTGGTTTTTCTGTTGTTTCCTTCAGAAGAACAACATCAGAGAGTCCCTGTGTAATTTGTCTTTGGGTCGTTTGATGTGCCAGGTATAATTAATAAACCTGAGAGTTTTGAAAAGTATATTACAATCAGGGCAGACCTGTGTCGCCAGCTGATGTCATCATTTCTAATTATAGTTCATAAACAAAAACAACGGCTCAGGTACACCAGTCAAGGGAGGTCACTTTGACCTGAATACATCCACTTACTACCCACACATCTTATTGAAGTTTTAATAAGTGGATGGTTTTGTTTTAATATATTACTTTGATTTTTTTTCAAAGCAAGTGCTTTTTTTATCTTACTTATTTTTGAAACCTACAATAGCAGTTTTCCATCTGCTTCATTTAAAAACACTTTGTTTCAAATCAAATTTAAAAATAACATTTTTTAATCAGGATGATAAAACATAAAATTAAAAGCATCTGCTGTCACAATGTCATTGATTTGTGATGGGGTTTTAATATAGCCACTTTGATAAGCTATTTTTCTCCTAAAGTGCAAGTTTTTATCAAGCTAATTAATCATTATAACTACAGTTATGAGGATCAGAAGAGCTATAAAATTCAGGGTTAGATTTCTCCCTATACCACTCATTTACTGTTAAAAATAAAAAAGAAATTGAACAACATTAATATGGAAAGCTGTTTCATGTAGAAGATCAAAGAGATGTGAGATATGCTTGGCCTGTCATTCTGAGCCAGATGGGACACTGTTACAAATGACACTGTCTGCACGGTAACAGTTTGTTGGGGGTCTGTTTTAGTTTCCAGTAGGCACCATATTTTCCTTTGTTAACCTGCTAATTTTGTCATAATCATAGTAAAGGCACTTCAGTTAGAGTCATTTGAGTTTTTACAAAGTATTTCAGTAGAGTTGTAATTATTGCTCTTCTTATATTGTTTATTGTTGGATGTAAGCAGAAAAATTCAAAGTCTCAAATCTTTTTAATTCATATTTGACACATAACATGGAATTAAGGTCATCCCAAGTGAAAAAAATCCTCAAACAAATCACTCTAAGAAATCACTAATGAATCAGTGATTTGAAGATGATTTGTAAGTGATGCAAATTCCCATGCAAATGAGCTAACAAATCACTCCTAACAAATTGTAAGCAAATCACCCTGAAATCACAACGAAATCACTGAGAGTAAATCGTGTAGAAATCACTTCTGTTGAACAAATCGCAACCAAATCACTCCAAATAAATTGCAAACAAATCGTTTCAAATAAATTGCAAACAAATCACTTCAGTTTAACAAATCACTTTCAAATCACTCCAGGTGGTTACACACTTGTGTGTATGATGCTCATGTAACCATCCCTCAAATATTTGAAACACACATGCATGCATACCAGTATTTGTTGTATATGAACAAAAAACTTTTGGCAAGTGTATTTTAAAATATAAACTTTTACTAGGATGTGTCCTCATTAAGATGGCATCATGTATTTTAGATATATACACATGTTAAATTGGCTCCAAATTCAGAATATGATATAAGCATTAATTGTTGACTTTTAGAAGTTGGTAAATGTTTTCTTATCTGAAATACATATTTGTCTAGACACTTTGAAAAAGCCAGTACTTTTCTGAAGCTTATAGCTTTACATAGATTTTGTTTAAAACATTGATTGCCACCGACTTTGTTGTTGGTAGAAGAACAATAAATTGCATGTGAACATAGGGAATATTAACTGAATCTCAAGAGGAAATGATAGCATAATACAGTTATACATACCTTAAAACTATATTCTGCATGATTATTGAAAAAACATCAGTTTCAACAAAAGAAGAGAGGTATGAATCTAGAAAAGCACAATGTAGCTCCTTTCATTTCAATTCAAATCTGATTAATGAAAATTGGCGGTAGAGTTTCTAATACTGACCAATCAGCAAGCCAGGTGGAAGTTATGAAGTAAATCATTCTCAAATCACTCTGAAGAAGGGCCATGAGATCAACAAATCATTTACAAATCACTTTGAAGAAAGACTAAGTTAACAAATCATCTTCAAATCACTCTGAAGAAAGACTAAGTTCCAGAAATCATGTTCAAATCACCTTGAAGAATGGCTAAGTTCAACAAATCATGAAGAAATCACTGTAACAATTTCCTAAGTTTAACAAATCACTCAGAAATTGTTTGAAATGGGAAAGAAATCACAAGCAAATCACCCTTTTATAACAAATTGTAAGCAAATCATAGTCATCATTTTAGTAGAAAGTGATTTAAGCATGATTTGTTAAATGAATTGCTTACAAATCACTGAAACAAATCACTTATAAGTGATTTTAAAGTAATTTGTAGGCAATTTGTGAGTGATTTGTTTGAAAAAATTTTCACTTGGGATGTGTTTAATTGGTTCTGGCTGGTGACCACTGAATGATCTCCCTTTTTTAGCTGGATGATGGTTTTATGGAGGACCAGAATGTGACCTTGGATGACCTTCACATGGACATTCTGGAGAAGCATCACCGTGACAACATGCAAATCATGGCCTCCATGTTAGCTCGGGTAGGTCCTGCATGGATATCGTAAATCCCAGAAGGCTTTGTGTTACCCCCTGTGTATTGTATACTCGTGTTGTATTCTCATATATAAACTAGTGCATGTTCCAGATAGGTAGACATCATATATAGTATCATAATAATATGCCTATATCTGTAGAGCATGATTTAGTTTAATATAATACAAATATAGCCTGCAGCTTTGACATCTATGTATTATAAAGTGTATTTTTTTTAAAAAAAAAAGATGCTTGCTAAACTTTAATACAGAAAGTATATTCAAATTTGCATATAATATATCACTAAACATTGCTTTTGTAAACTAGAAGGTATTGATTCCTTGTATCTCAGGTTCTAACTGATAATAATGAAACAGAATTTTATTTCTATGATATGAAGATCTGCTGAGTCATTCACACGGCCAGGAACACGTTAAGTTCCAAGACAGTACCGTTGTCAGAAACATTTAAAGTTAAGCACTAAAAATGGCTCGTTGTCATGAAAATACAGGTAAGGTTATGACAAAAACTGTCCGGTGTCATTACTTTAGAAGACAGGTCGTGAGCAGTTTTTCAATTTTTAAGTTAAATAATTTCAACCAATGTCTGAAATTGCAATGGGGAACAGGACTGACACCCCTTTTGGTGTTGTATGAATTTCAGCCGTTAAAATGAAGTAATAAAAGAGGAGTTTGCGTTGGCAATCACATGCCCATGTGTTAAGTCATGATCGTCAGCCTGAAAAGTTAATATTTCTTACGTAAAATTTATCAAAATGGTCCTTTTATTTTGAAATATGAAGAAAAACTTAATTTTACATGTGTTAGGCAACTGACAGCCTATTCTTTATAGCAGGCTGTAAGAAATTGCAATTTAAAAGCAAAATGTCCGTTGTCAGTACATGTTAAGTTTTTCTAGTCCGTTGTCTTTTTCTTAACATATAAGTTTATCAATAAAACAGTCTGACTAAAGCTAGTCCCTATTTCACTTTGTTAGGAGTGAAATAGTAAAGGCTGGTTTTAGTCAGACTGATCAATTAACAAAAATGATCAAATATATATGTACTCTTAAGAAAGAGAAAGCATATTGCAGGAAATTTTTAATCTTTTTGGGGGTCGTCTTAGGAGTAGTGTATATACCCGAACGTGCTTACCATTCTCTGATGATTTTTAATATATGTAGAGTGTATATAACGTATAACAATTCCTGAAATATTATCAGTAAAACAAAAATAAAATATTGGATCTACACGAAATTAAAGATACAGAATTTTTTATTATGTATTAAATTTTCGACAAACAAGTTGCTGAAACAAGAATATCAAAAGTCTTGTTTTTAGAAAGTCATAATTTTAAAAGTTCCTTGGTAGAAGCAATGATCTTGTCAGCAAACACAATTTATCATGGAGTCAAATGCTGACTGACGTTTTTCATAGTAATTATTAGGCCATTTTTTACACATTGACAGATTTTTCCCGGTACATTTCCCGATCAAGACAAGGGGCATACAGTAGGTTTAAACGGTAGACAGAGGATGTTCATTCCTAAAAGAATTTCTTGAATAGGCAAGGAAATTTATTTAAAATGAAGAGAAATATGAACAAATGACTGGAATCTTAAATTAACGTTTGCATAAAATCTTTGAATATTTCCTCAATGATAAAAATGATATAATATATATTATAACAGATAATATAATATTTGAATACATATTGTTTTTCCGCCTATCGCCAAGTTATAATTTTCGAAAGTTAACATATTCGAAGGATTTTATTATATAAATTTTCATAAATATTTTTTTAATTGATTATTATATAAATTTTCATAAAACATTACTTATTTGGGAAAACAAAGAGAGATAACCATAAAAATTTGGTAAAAGTTTTGTTTTTCACAAAAGAAATCAACGAAAAACGGAAAATACAACCCCCAACAAAAATTCTTTTTTACAGATGATATGGACTATTTTTTTCAAAAATTCAAACCAAGCTTTTTGTGTTTCAAGGGGGGGGGGGGGGATTCGTATACTTTATTGACAAAAAACGACAAAAACAATATTATCATAGATGTGTTTATAGACAAAAAACAAATACAAAAAGTTATCACAGATAATTCAGTTTATGCCGCTATGAGAAATCTATTAAATCTTAAACCGTCGGATAGTTACCATGGTTACGGATTTTTTTAATCGAAAAAAAAAATCTTTGTTTTTGTTGCGCCATTTCTGTTACCCTGTTAGTGCGATGGAAAAAACCCTCCACCCATCCTTTTTATGGGTTCATTTTTGTATTATTTTGCATTCTGGTCAAAATTTGTATTTTTCTTATAGTAGTAACTTGTCATCTGGGATTGGTGCAGTTGTTTGGACGCCTCCAAGGATTAACTCATTTATGTTATATTTTATGCATGTTTACATGTAAACTGATATTTTCACTGCATGTAAATTTCTAGTCTGTCTCAGGGGGTTACACTTGTACCTTTCATGCACCTATGTTCATGTTTTATCTTGTTTTGTTTAATATCAGGAGATCCCTCTTAATGGTTTGTTATAATTTTAATTTATGCCATTCAAGTGAATGAAATAATCGACAAAACTGCATATTTGTGTTTGGTTAATTTTTACTGCACTGTCAGGCTGATATTTAAATGCTTATTTTTTCACCTATTTCGAAGCGATTTACAACTGAAAAATTACATTTTATAAATACATTTATTTTCATAATTTCTTTGCCGAAAACATAAGAAAATATACTATGAACATTTAATCATATCCAAGACTATTTCAAAATATGGTGATCTTTCAATGGAGAATATCGTCTACCCCGGCCCCTCTTTTTAAGAGCTTGAAATAGGGATAATTCACTATTTAGCGCTGGTATCAAAACAGTTCATCAATTACCACTTAACTATTCTTTGTATTAAAAACAATTTTATGGCCAAATTGCCATTAATATTAAACAAAATGAGTGCAAAATGCAGGCACTTTGAGCATATTTCTTCCTTCACTTTGAAATTAGTTTTTTAAGGAAAAAGGCTGAAGCCCATATGTATGACAAACAAAAGCTGAACATTATATGAAATTTAGAAAATAGCATACGTTTAGTTTCTTATGACTAATTAGTGCACCCATTTATTGAAGGCATGTTTGAAATTTATCAAAGTATAAAAAAAAACTAAAATCGACCTCCTTCATAGTATATACGTACAGTAAAGTAGCGACAACGGACCGATGACAACGGACTGAATTTTCGTATCTTGTCATGACAACGGACATAAATTATAATAAATCAAATATTTAGGTTTTAATTGTTTTATTTTTTTCCCGTAAATGCTTATAACATGTCTTGATACTGACTGCATCAATTGGTATATATATGATATTCTATTTACAAAAAATATAACATCTCAGAAGGAAAATGAATGAAATCCACCTTTGATTTCACCAGGGTTTAATATCGCAAACGCAAACTCCTCTTTTATTACTTCATTTTAACGGCTGAAATTCTTACAACACCAAAAGGGGTGTCAGTCCTGTTCCCCATTGCAATTTCAGACATTGGTTGAAATTATTTAACTTAAAAATTGAAAAACTGCTCACGACCTGTCTTCTAAAGTAATGACACCGGACAGTTTTTGTCATAACCTTACCTGTATTTTCATGACAACGAACCATTTTTAGTGCTTAACTTTAAATGTTTCTGACAACGGTACTGTCTTGGAACTTAACGTGTTCCTGGCCGTGATTCAGTAGTGACTAACTTTAGAATAAGAATAGTTTCCCCTACATTAATAAACCCCATCATTTAACAGTTAATAAACCCAATCATTTAACGTAATTGTTAATCAGCGTCTCATTATTGTGATGTCACTCCTGTGTATTGATTTCATCATATTGTAAATCACATCAAAGAAAAACAGATGACACAGGACTAAAAATCATCAAAGGTTCAATTTCTAAGAGGTGTTATGAATCATTCTCCCATTGAAATGATTTTTTAATGAAATAAAAAATGGTCCACACGAAGGAAAGTAAAAACTGAAGCCCATAGGGACGGCCCTGGGGCAGCTAGTCGTCTTTAGATGTGTGCAGTTTGCAGTGTTGTGAAAAATGTGCTATAAGGTCACAAGTTGCCTCTTAGGACTACAAGTATAACAAATGACTGCATGGTATTATGAACAGGTTTGTCTATTGTCTACAGTGGGGTGTTTTTTTTATTCCAACCTTTTGTCGTGTTTTTCACTCTTTGATCTGACAACAGCTGGGAGTACGCCTCGTTATCTTTGTGTAATTATTACAGAACTCTCTCTACATTTTAATTATTCAGCAGTCTAAGGAAGAGTGATAGCACTAACTGTTTTATTTCACTGTTTCTGTTAGCTTATTTGTTACAGTCATACAATAATTTGTTATGGTGACAGCCAAGTGTTGTTCATATGAAGCTGCGTGTTAATTTTAGATGACGAGATATTCTACTTAAGCCCTTCACTGAAACTAATCCTTAAAATATGGAGTTCTGTTACCACATCAACTCGTAATCAATAAGATAAAAAAGCAATTTCTATCGCTTCAGGTGTTGTAACTTTCATTGAAGTGAGTTTGGGGACTTGTGGACTCGCGAGATCAATATCTCCTCGTGTAACTGCTCAGCGTAAGACACCAGAACTGTCTTGTAGTTGTACAGACTGGTTTACTGACGTGAGGCTTTCCTTGCTCGACCAGTGAGATTAAACCTATCTTTATTTCTACAGGGTCACATGGAGGAGGAAGGGGGGACAACAGACACCAAACACGAAAAAGACAGCGGCGTGGGGCGTACAGATGAAAGTACGCGGAACGATGAGAGCTCTGAGCAGGTCAGTATCTGTGTATGTTCATCTTAAATATCATCAAGCATATTGTATAAGCAGGAATTTTAGTGAGGAAATAATTTTTGCATTATTAGTGAGGGTGCTTAGGTCGCCTACATTAAATATTGCTAAAATTTTATTGCGTTTGATTTGTGATGGCTTTTTTAATGAGCATTTTGAATTAAAATTACATCTTGCTAAAAATAGAATACCAATTTTTAAGGACAAATTCATTTCCTAAATTTGTGCCTTGCTAAAATTTCCACTTGTACAGTTTATGGTGATCATTACAATGCATTGGTTTTACATCTTTGTTACCGATATTTATAATAACTAATCAAATCATTATTCAAAAAAAGTTTTGTTTCAAAATATAGATAGAAAAACCTTTTCATCTCCCCACGTGACCGATAAATAAGGTCTTTTCATCAATGTTTCTTTTTGATTCTTTGAATTTAATCATCTTTCCCTTTCATCTGCACATCTTATCAGGGAATCAGGAATATTGATCTCTGATGGGGGGCTACGTAGAGTAACTGTGTGGCAAATCTCGAGGTTTACTGATGGATGCAGTTAAAATATCAGACACCTGCCTAAAAATTCATCTGTTATGATTGAAAGAAAAAATTATCAAGGCATTCTGTCAACTTCATTGATTGACAATGGAGTTATATAAAAAACTCCGTTTTAATTATTGAATGAATTTTTTTGTTTAAAGAAAGAACTGTTTAAGGGGAGGGGGTGTTCCTATAATTTATGATGAGGAAACTGAATCTTTAGGTGTGAGAAACACAGGAGAAAGTGATTAGCACTTGATGAAATTATCAACAGTAAGATACTGTATCAATGGATTATGGTGTTTATAAGGGTTTGGGATTATTTATCTATAAGATCTCCCTTTCATGTTACTGGTTTCTTTATTGAGGTACAATTAAAGACTTGAAGCTCTTCCAGGGTTGGTTCATGTCCCGCCAGGCAGATTCAGTGGGGGACAGAGTTTACACACCAACAACAGGCTTATCAGGGGAATACACTGTAGAGCATACAAAAATCAACCCAATACTTAACTGAATGTAATTTCTCTAAATCTGTTATCAGTGGAGAGAAATGGTTTTCTTTCCTTGAAATATTCCATTTTTCAATTCCTTTGATCTTTTGGTTTTCAGTCTTTTGATCTGGAAGTAATTGAATTCTGGAATTGTCAGATAGTGGGATTAAAGCAGATTCCATTCTTGGGAGATTTTTTTTGAGAGATCTAGATACTTTGGGAAGGGGGAGTAACTCTTAGCAGGAAAAAATAAACCTAACACTAAAAAAATTTCAAAGGAAAGAAAGAAAATGAACTACCTACTTAGTATTGTACTTGTTGAACACAAATAATAGCTTTTGAAGGAAAAGTATCATTTTGTAGGATGAGTTAACCACTGCTCCAATTCATTTTTGCTAAATTTTGTTAAATAATATGATAGTCTTAAATGTGTATCAGACACAAGATTTTTTTTTATCTAGTACATGTATTATTCTGTTGATTGACAGTTTGCCTGATATCCTTTTCTTACAAAACACTATATTACTTCACATACTGATTATCTGATAATAAATTGAGAGAAAAGTGAAACAAGAGATAGCCATCACGAACACCAACATGCAAACAAAAGACTCGAAGCAGAATAGGTCTAGAGTCGTGGGTCAAAATTGTGTAGATAATAATCTGGGGGACCTGTTTTGAATTGAATTATTTAGGATCAGTACTCATTTTATTCCAACTTTAATTTTAATTTGCCTCAAAGCAGAAGCTTACACCTCATTTGCCCCCAGGATTATGTAGCTGTTTTTTTTCATTGAAAATACATGTTGCTCAGACAGATAGAATTGTATTTATAAGTGAGGTAGCAAGTCAACTAACCTTTTAAGACCTATCTTTAAAATAAATGGATATTGATAAAAAATGACAGGAAGAAACATTTTTTATAGAATTTCACCTGAATTGAACTTCACCCTATATACTTATTTATGATATTTTCATCAAAACAATTTTTCTATTTAGACGTATCATTAATTTCACTGATTTTCTATTGAGATATTGACCTTTATAGGATTTTGGTTTTTTTTTTAAGGATCCATTTGATACAGAGTGCACAAACTCTCCTGCGGCAACGTCAAAGTTCCGACGTAAGGAGCAGAATTACAGTGACGACAGTGTCTTGTCAAACGAAGTGACCGACGTTACGGATTACGGCAACGAATGTGACAGTTTCCGAGCTCATATAGAGAGTCGTTACGTGAATAACGGTATGGAATGTTCCCCTCAGAAGGGCTCGGTCAGAAAAGACTCGGTGAGCAGCATCGAGCGTGAGCTGGCTCTACTCAACAAAGAGATGGAAACCATTCACATGGAGTGTCAGGAAATGTGTGATAAACATGCAAAGGACATGGATAAACATCAGCTTCAACGAGAAGCTTTGCAAATTAAAAGTCCACGAATTGTGCCTAGAATGGGAACAAGACTCGAATATTTAAGATATGTGCAATTATACGACAACCCAAATTCTCTGGATCGTCGTGATACGTTACCCAAAGCTGCCAGTCAGCAACCAAGAACTCAGTGTGAGAAAGACGCGTCCACAACCACAAGTGCTTATAACACAGGAGAGAGCTGCAGAAGTACGCCTCTAACACTAGAACTGAATCAAGGCTCAGAGGAGGGGGACTTCAAAAACTCTATGTTGTGTCTAGCTCCATCCAACGCTAATGTTTCAGCATTAAGTGACACTGAGAAACAAACACAGACTCCGTGTGGACAGAATGGTGGCTCGAGTGATGACTACCAGTCCATTGTGCCTGATCACGAGTCGGCAACTCTCCAGAAACAGAACTGTATGGGGGAGTCGCTACAGAACCTATACATGCAGTACGCTGACGTGATGTACACTAACCAAGCCAACCTAGAGCACACTATAGCTATCAAGCAGAAACTCTTCCAGCAACAGATTGAACAGAACCCCATGAGGAACAGGAAAAACAATGGACTTCCCCTGCAGCCTTCTGTCTCTAGTGCTAGCTCTGTAAGTGGACAGGGCGAGGTAAAATCTAGAGACAGTCCAAATGTCTCCAGAGATAGTCCAAATGCCACTCCACCAGACAGCAGTGGACAGATGGAGTGGGTCGTGAAGCGCCGTCCAGACGGAACTCGCTATATCACGCGTCGTCCAATGAAAAGTAAGCTTCTGAAAGAGAGAGCAAAGAAAATTTCAGAAGAAAGATGTGGAATGACAACGGATGATGACGCAATGAGTGAACTGAAATTTGGACGTTATTGGTCGAAGGAAGAGCGTAAAAGACATTTAGAAAAAGCACGTGATCACAAACGAAAACGAGAATGCATGATGAGAGCCAAAATGGAAACTCTGAAAGAAGCAGAGGAAAAGAAAGAAATAAACATTGTAGAACTCAGTCATCGAAAAATGATGAAGCATAAAAATAAGAAAGTGTTAGACAATTTTGTGACAGTTCAGGAAATGCTGGCTCACGGAAGTCGTGTGTCTGATGGGAAGACCTATAATCCCCTCCTCTCCGTGACAACAGTTTGATTTCATCTGTGTGATAGTGGATGCTTGGATTATTAATTTGCATAAATTTGCATAAATGTGATATACTGTGTAGTAATGTGATTATTCAGAGAGAGAGAGAGAAAGAGAGAGAGAGAGAGAGATTAAAGAATTTCTTGTATAATATATTTAAACATGTTTTTTGTGTTATATATATAAATGTATATGGTGTTCCACTGAAACATTTTTTTTTCATGGAGTTTTGTTTCAGCCATGGAAATAACTGATTCTGCAAGATACAATATGTCTTTGTTGGTAGATGAAAGTTCTTTATTATTATGGATTGGTGGTTGCATATTGCAGCTGTAAATTAAAGTGCTCTAAGTCATGAATATATATACTTCATTCACATGTGATATTTAAGTAGTAGTGTATGTAGAGTTCTGTTGATGTCGGATATTCACCGTCAGAGGTGTAAGTCAGGGAGAGAGATTTTCCCCCTATTCTATTCATCTTTTTTGTTTCCATGTTTCACAATGACAGTGAAAAAATTCATTAGAAAATAAATTGTCATTACTTTGAAAAGAAATGAACCAATGTAAAATCCACACTCTGTGCATTGCTTTCTTATGAAAGCATATCCTCCAAATTTTCACTATTATTAAGTATAACATATTGTACCAAAAATTGTACTGTCATTTGTTATACAGATTGTAAGAATTCCACTTGTTCTGAATTACTGATTGTTAGTCCCTGTATATTATACTATAGTAATAAAATATTAAACATACATGTAAAGAGCACCGTAAAAATTCTTAGTGTCTAAAGCAAGATATATCAAAACTCCTGTATACTAGTCAAATTACAAAATCACATAATTTAATATTTCATAGACTTTGTTTATTTTGTCTGTTGTTATAAACCTGGTTTAAGTTTCTGATCCATGTGTAGAAACATACATCACCTGTGATCACGTGCTTAGTTACAAACGTTGTCAGTAGAAACTGTCGTCATGGTAACATTTTGACAGATTTTGTGCTTCATTTTCCTGAATTCAGTGATATGAGAACATGAATAAATTATTGTTTTATATTTGTGACAAGAATCTTGACTTTGTTCTTTGTTGACATTGCTGCTTATTGTCTTGAGTGACTGCCTGTCACAATCTTTAAGTCACGATCGTAAGAAACAGTCATAAGATATGCCTCTGTAGAAGAAGAATGAGATTGGATGAAATTCAAATTCAAAATTTACTATGCGTGCTCATGTGTTCCTTTTCACAAACCCCCCACTCTACAAAAAAAAAAATATCTAAGTTGCAAAAATCTTAATTTTCTATTACATTTGATCAATATTTTATTATTGCTTCCTTAAAGATATGTATGCCGTGTTAAACAGTATTTTTGCACAGGTGAAACCGAACAAAAATTTCTGGAGTATGATAAGCTACCAAAAATGAAGCATTCTTGCAAATTCGACGAAATTTTATTCGGTATTAACAAAGTACTGGTCAGGAAAAGAGCACGATATTCTTATGCATATTTATAAAGGACTGACGTTTATCCTGGATCTGCGCATGTGCGCGGGAAAAGCATCGCGAGAATCATCAGGTCGAGAAAAATATTTTTTGTGACGTCTGTTCAGTGAGGGACACAAATAGACCAATCAGCTCAATGAGTTGCATTTAATGCATTTATGGGTTACTACATAAAATACTACATGTGTTTTTCAAAAAGGCTAGTTTTTTTAAATCGCTCTCAGAAAGACTTGATGCATTATGAACATTATTATCTACAAATCCAATGCTCATGTTTTCATACAAATGATTAACAATGATGAAAATTAAAGTTTCCCCACTCCATTGTACAGGTCCGTTTGTTTAGAGTTTCCCCGTGCTGTACTGCTAGTGGACATTTTCGGTTGGGTGAACATTTACGGATCTTCAGTGTAGAGCGCATTATGCGCAAAAAATATTTTATGTCAAGTACAATGTATGGAAAGTAATTTAAACTGCTATATTTACACCCTGAATGGGATATCGTCAGTTATCCCTATTGGTTTTTTAATATGAACCACAACACATATGTAGATGAAACTTACATACCATACATTTTGCCTTCTTAGAAATATACTTTGGCTAATAAAAAAAATTGGTCAAGGAATTCCAGGCCTCTAAAAACTATTCCAGTTTGAGGGCACAACCAAGCATTTCGATGAACACCATTAAGAAAAATTAATTCAGGTAGGTAGCATCGTTTTTTTTTAAAGTGGGTGGGGGGAATAGAACAGTTAGAATAAAAATCAACTAGCTCGAAGAAATCTGACAAGTAAAATAGGTTCCAATATCTTTCACTACTAAATTTTATTCATTTACTACAATTTACTGCCAAACTCCAAATTTCACTTTCGAATTAGCCCGAGCCAATGTTGATAACCTACTTGCAAGATTTTTTATATTATTTTCAAGGGGTCAGAAAAACTGTACGTGGTTCATATGTAAAGAATATCATTATATTATTTAGTAGTATTCTGGTTTTGGCATTCGGTATATTGTGCAGATTTATACATGATATTCTGTGGAATACTTTTTGTTGTTTTAAACCATTAAGAAATGCAGAATCGAATGTATTTAATAACCATTTTGATTGATCAAATTATATCATTTGTTTGTATTAGTTATTTCATTTTGACACAACATGGTTTCCACACTTCTTTATCCATAGTCGCTGACATCTGTAGAAGTTCACCCAACCAAAAATGTCCATTGAAAAGACAATTGCACGTGATTATTCCTCGGTACAAAAAGCAACCAACTTTGAGGTGCTCTCAATATTGACAATCCCTAACTCACGTGTTTGTAGTAAAAACGTAGTAGACCATCATGCTTTTCGGTTCATTCACGAGATTGGACCATTGTTTGCTGTAAACATGCGAGACAACGTGATCATGAATATTTCAATAAGAGGCGGTTTTTCATCCGACACGGAGAGAAAATAATTTTTACCAAATAATATTTCAAAACTTTTAAAAGTGATGGAGTGGAATTGTCTTATTTGCAGATAGTATATAACTTATATAACTTGATGAGACACCACATATATTTATTACTTTTAAAATAAAACACTAATACGGCATATATAGCTTTAATGATTATTTAGAAAGTTACAGACTGGTGAAGTTTTAGTTGTAAGCTTTTTTGATAAAATGGCCACTGAGTTGCACAGGAAATGTAGAGAATAAATCAAACACCCAACACACACTATAAGCAAGTGTAAATTTTCAATGAAACTAATTAATCCTTAAGGTATGTTTATTCAGATAAGTTAAGTGTCAAAACGTTTAAAAAAAAAGATTCTAAAATTTCAATAATCGCAGTCCAAAAATGTAAAATACAACTGCTTTGTATTCATAGTCACAATGGATACGTAAAGGTGGCGTTTCCCTTTGATTTATTGATTAGGTGTTGTTTACGTCCCTCTCGAGAATTTTTCACTCGTGTGGAGACGCCACCACTTGTAGGTTTAGAGCTATAGATTTTGTCCTATGCTTGGAACTTACAGCCATTGAGCAGTGAGGGATTTTTTCCTTGCCAGCACCAACTGTGTACAAGTGTTGGATCCATATTTAAAAATAAAGACTACACCTGATATTTCCTAGAAATAAACATTGACCATGGCTTCCAAACTTTTCAATTACAAAAAAACTTTACATGACCTGGATATCGAGTAACATAGTCCTCTATCGTGTACATGTTCCTCTTCCCCATATAACTATAGTCCTGCTGGACACGTTATTACAAGTGACGTAAATATGGTTAACAATGAGGAGATAAGATCAATACTTTTAAAAGGTACTGAATAAAGGGAACCACGATCATTCAACTGACGTCGGAATTTCATAAATATTAATTATATTATGGTTTCTGTTGAAGATTACGCCAGACGATGGGCCAGATATGAAAAAGAAGACGTCGAAAATGTGTCGGAATGGATTAAATGCATCAGATGCATGTTAAAGTCGCGTATTAAAAGGGGCATATATGGAGGAGCAATATGAAAACCATCTATCCTTCTGTATTCAATACTGTAGATCACTGAATTTTCGCACACCTTATTTTCGCGAGATAATCATTGACTCTTTTTTAGCGAGACAAAATTTACACGAATTGTGGCCATTGCTCTTTATAATTTTAAGGAATTCTATTATACGCTAGAATGATATTTTTCCGAACATACTGTCTCGCGTAATAACGCGAAAATAAAGTTCTCGCGAATAAAAAGTGATTTACAGTAATCCAGAAGTAAAAAAAAAATTAGATAATTTACATGATCAGTACGCACTGGCCCCTGCTGACAAAGCAGGTAACAATATTGTCTTTGTTAGGATCATTATATAAATTGTACTTTAGAAAAACAATGATTTAATTCTACAAGTGGCAATCCAACTAACTTACACTTTAGGGTTCTAAGGAAGAAATTCTTCAAAATCATATGTCAGTTTTGGATATTTTTAAAACCGACCGGGGTATCCCACAGAGCCAAGATGAATTTAACTACCTTATATTCAAATGTATAATGGATTCCGAAACTTCATATTAATCCTTACAAACAAACTTACATTGTTGGTTCCAGTTAATGTTCAACAAAGCCTCTTTCTTTACTCCTCACTAAGATATCAATAAAAAAGGAACTCGTTAATTCATTTACCTGGTCAGTGGTCATTTGCAAAATTATTTTGTTAAAACACATTCTGGTTGCACACACACGTACTCTGAAGTTGACATTAAAAAGATGCTTGAGTTTCTGGTTGACAATATCTAGGAGGGTTTTGGAGACCAGGTATTTCAACAATCTATTGGAATTCCCATGGGCACCAACTGCGCTCCTTTATTAGCATACCTATTTTTGTATTCATATGAAGCAGCATTTGTGCAAAATCTTATGCTTGAAAAGAAAACACTTGCTGTAGTCTTCAACTCGTCATTTAGATATATCAACGACGTATTGTCAATTAACAATGGTAATTTCCATTCCTATGTCTATACGATATATATCCTGGTGAACTTGAGATAAAAGAAACCACAGAGTATAACACATCTGTTTCATACTTGGAAATTTTACTTGAAAAAGGTTGGTCCTTCATTTTAAAAATTACACCATGAGAAAAAATGTATCGAAAGTGGGGGAGGTGGTGGGGGCTCTCACGGAAAAGTAAACTTTTTTCAAAAAAATATATATATCAAGGTCTGTGTTTCCATAGAGGAGGTTGGATCCAATACTCTACTTCCTATGCATACCTTCCCTCTTCACAAATGCAGCAAGCGAACAAAGAGAAATAACTCTCGTTAAGTCCTTCTTCCCTAAAAAGTCTTTTCAGATCGATCATTGAGTCTTCTCTGTAATTTGTTTATTAGTTTCTTCCTTAATCAATGTGTAGTATTAAACCATAAATAACGTACTAGTATAATTTATGTGAGATAAAAATGCAAATTTTGTTGAAATAAATAGTCACGACATTTTCCAAAGTCACATATCATTTTTGATGAACAATTCTGCTTAAAATATATGTACATATATATACTTACATTCTTTTGAAAATCTATATTAAAATAACCATTAAATATTATATTTGTTTCTATTAACTGAAAAATAATTATAAGGAAAACTGTATCATTTTAATGATGAGTTATTTTGTAAGGTAAATAAATACATTTGTAAAGGTTCACAGTATAGGAAAGGAGTGTTCAAAGTTACTTATGACAGATACTGATACACTTTAACACAGGCTGTTTTTTCTTCTACCAGCCACAGGTTGTCGTGTTTGTCCACAGAGATCCCCCGTGGTCGTGATATCCCATCATCCTTTGTCAGGATATAACACAGGAAGTCCCCGTTCTGGCTGATCAGGTGTACAGCATTATTGGCGCTGTCTGCGATAAGGATGTGACCCAGACTGTCGGTAGTAACACCACGCGGATCAAATTTTTCTTCTAACGTCTGTTTAAGGACTTTCCCGTCATACTTAAACCGAAGATTTCCAGACTTGTTCAGTACGACCAATTTATTATTTGAATCAGAAACACAGATATCGTCGTTGACATTCTCACAGACAAACCTTGGATTAATAAAAATTCCCTCCCCGTTCTGATCTGTCCTGAATTCCTGGATCATCCTCCCACTGCTGCTGTACTTGACCACTCTCGCTGTATATAAAAGACCCATACAGACCAGGATATCACATGATCTGGTACAACACAGTCCTGTAGGATTATACTCAGTATTTATAAGTTTTGTTGTCTGTTTATTGAGTGACACTCTGTAGATTACTTTATTGATGTATTCAGAGTAAATCAGACTTCCGTCCTTCATCACAGCCAGACCAGATGGTTGACCGTCAGTACTGATGTTATCCAGCTCTGTCTCTGACCTGTCTATCAGTTGTATTCCTGGACCATTACCACTGATGTACGCTGATCTATCATCACCACAACTCACATTATATAACTCTCTCTTTTGAGTTTTTGTTTCGCTAAGTTTAACTGAACGTCTCGATACTTTTTTGATAGATGGTTTTACGTTTGAAGACCTAGACTGATCATAAACTCGCAAGCTATCATCGCTTGATTTAAGATGGCTGAGTTGACCTCTGATGAATTTACCAAACTGATGCTCATTTTGAGATTTTTTCATCTCACCAATTGTAAATGAAGGCATAGTGAGATTTATTTTTACTGGAAATTTCAATCTCTTGAAAGTGTCAGGATTTCGCTTTCGGTACAATATAAGGTCGGTGGGATGACTTGATTCTGTAAGAGTTTCAAATTTCTCAATCAATTGATCCATGTTTTGTTCAAAGCTTTCCATTTCTGCTGTATATTGAGATATTTCCTTTAATGTTTCTCTCTCGTCTTTCGAGGATTCATCCAAGGCTTCCTTCAAAATGGTATTGATATGATCTATAAAATCCTGAGCTTGTTTCTTCATTTTTTCTCTTATAAATTTATGACTGGTCTTTATTCCGCTTTCTCCATTTTTGAAATCTTTTATTCTTTGAATAATCTCAGACTTGTATTGTGTCTTCATCTTAGTCAATTCGTTTTCAGTTTCAGCCTTTTGTTTCTCGTACATATCCTGTAATTTCCCGATGGCGTGTTTTCCATGCTCTTCCTGAATGCATGTAATACACACCGGGACTTGGCAATCTTCACAGCAAGCCTCGTAAGCTTTACATGAGTGGACCTCACACATTTTGATCTGATTGGTTGGATGAAGTCTCTCAGACAGACGGACGATGTTGTGTCCAGAGGGAACTTTGCTTTTAAGATGGAAGACTTTACATCGAGGACAGAGTTCATCTCCACACGGAACACAGTGGAAGACAGCGGGCTCGTCCTCGCAGTATTGACATCGAATGACGTCTTGGGCTTGTGATCGGGCCATTGTAATACAACCTTATATCCTGTAAAATAAAGTATAATGAATATAAAATTATATATTCCGGTCTTGTTTAACAACCCCATCCTATCGTACGGAAATGCTAATCTAGCCAGGGGAAAGGTTTTGGGTAATTAAAAAAAGCTTCGAATTCTTTTTTTTTATTTAGAAAAAAATTGAAAATAACTTTAGCCTTTTTTGTCTAGTAGATTTAATGCTTGGCAAGAAAAGAACCTTTTACTTAAAAATTGATAAATACACCTCTTGTGTAATAATATTGACTGAAAAAAGGAACATTCATGAGGTTTACGTATTGAAAGCCGATAATAATATGGGACTTTAGAAATGTAATGTAAACAGAAAGTGCTTGTATATATTAATTTTATAGAGGTTAGTAAAGACATGCATAATACAGGGGATGCTCACTCCTCCATGGCACCTGATGTTTTGGAAGTCCGTGTTTGCTCTGCTCCTATTTTGTATTGTTTTATGGACTTTTGATGTTTTTAACATATTTTATTGAAATAAATCAAATGGATCGGAAAACTCCTTTTGATCTTAAATACTGTTCGATATCTTCACATATTTCACTCCAAATAAAATTCATGACACATTAATAGTGACTATTATTATTTTCATAGACAAATGTATACCCCATAAAATCTCTCTGCCTCAAATACATGCTCAACCCATATTTTTTTCTTTAATATGTGTCGTACAATGTTATGAAAGTATCAGACATTTTTATTAAATAATTTAGCGGTAGAAATTGGATTTCATAAACTTACGCAAAACCCATTTTGTGAATTATTTAGAATGAAATTGGAGTCGAAGTCCATTTTGTTTTCGAATGTTCACGAGAGAAGGATTTACAAGTTAAATATATTTAAAAAAATAACCAAGGATATATAGATTCATATCAATGTTATGTTGCACCCAATATTAAGGAGCCTTGCGATTTGGGAAAGTTTCTGCACCGTGCTTTTACCGTGGTATTAATAGATATAAAGAATGTCATACTGTCTAAATAAAACAAAAATTGTTTAAGAAAAATAACTTGTACATTCTCCACCAGGAAACTGATTGAATAATTATTATGGAAATTATTTTAAAAAATACCTGCGCTATGCTCTACTATTTATATGCTATAAATCTATACGGTATACAATGTCTTAATATTAACATAATAAAGTTACTTAAATTGAACTCTTACAAACATTGTCTGCAATGACAAAAATGATTCCTAAATAATTATTGTTCTTGATTACGAGTGAAAAATGTTTTTTAAATATCCAACAAAGGTGGCATGATGAAAATCCCTATCTTGATATGACGTTGTTACGCGCCAAAGTCATTTTTATGGTTGGTTGGAAAACTTGCGTGTTCCTCTACGATAACTGGCAAAAATGGGGTTTCTTTGGTGGAAAAGTTAAAAACAAACTACACGGCAACATTATGTTTCTTTTTTATTCACCCTCAGTTATGACATGATTGCAAGAAATCATTCTAACTGCATATATGCAAAAGTGATTTCAATACCCAAGGTGCATCCATTCTCACTTTAACATAGGCGTCGGAACCAGAAGGGCTAAGGGGAGGGGTAAAGCCCCCCCACTCTTTTGCAAATATATATACATAATATAGGCATTTAAAATTGAGGTTTACCTTTTGTGTTAGTTTAGCCCCCCAATTTCAATTAAATTACCCCCCCCCCTCACTTTCAATTAGCTTCCGACGCCTATGTTTATTCTTGAAGACGTCGCGCATAGTATTGGGGTTCTAAATTGTGTAACTTGTAACACCGTAAACGACGGGCGTTTGTATTTTTGGTCATTCTATCGTTTTGGCTGGATGGATTTTTCTGCTAATTTGTATGAAGCATCTATAACATCCAGTGATGATGTCCAACAAAATTCATTAATAAATTCCCCAAACTGGCCAGTTCCAACTGTTCGTAAAATTGGAAGCATTCCGTAACATACCTTAATCTTGACAAGTAACAAGAAATGATGGAATGTTTGGTTAAACTTTTTTTACTATATAACATGTTCTTTTGGTAAAACTAAAGTATAAATGAAATGTGCAAATCAAGAAGTTGTCAAATATTTCTTTTAAAAAATATAAGCAAGTAAGAGGAGAGATTGAGGAAGTGATTTTGATGTCTAGTCGGTTTTGTTACTATGGCACAAATATGCGTATTTTCGTATATCACGGGACGTATATCATTAATTTTAGCTATATTCTTTTTTTAATGGAAAAACTTATTATAAATAAAATCTTATTTTTAACATGTGCATATGAATAAAATTTTATATTAAAAGAAATAATAAAAAATAAATAATTTTCAAGAAAACGAGAGCAAAAATTGGATGTCTAGTCTAATTTGTTACGCCTTTAATTTTTAACGTTTTTACGCTAAGACGACGTATGCAACAACGTCAGATATATACGAGGGTTGTCCCGTAAAATCGTGGACAAGTTGTTTAGTTTGAAAAATAATCATCACTGCGTTCTGAAATTTTCACCACTTTTTAGTAGATAAATTATTAATATACATAGCAAATTTCAAATAGATATATGCATAGGTACACAAATTGTGATATTTTATGTTATGTACTGTATCGCCCTACGGCGCACGGATGATAACGTCAAAGTATCTAAAACAGCGTCACGTTTCATCTTTGCTAAACTTAAAGTTGGATAAGCCCCACTTAAATTTAGAAATTTTATTGATTTACATATGTGAGTATCTATAACCAGTTAAGAAACCAATGTGGCACACTCATGCGATCTTCTGAATATTTATTAGCAAGTTACAGACAGTATTCTCACCATCATTCAACTAAAAGAGAATCTCACATCGACGGTCGACAGTGACAGCGTCCTTTGCTATAACAAATGGCAGTCTGTCCATATTTTTTTGTAATATCTGGGGACTCGACCACGAAGACTTCACTAAGAAAACTTTCATTTCATTTATATACTAAAGATCTGGTGATATTTTTCATATCTTCTTTCTTCTGTATTCATTTTAAGTCTCTTAAGGCGTCATTACAACATCCTAATCTATCTGAACTGCTCTCCGGTGCGCCGTAACGTCATAAAAAGTCGCCATTTTTCGTGTATTGTGTTTATTACTTTCCCATTTCAAATGCTCGTGAAACTGACAAAAATTAACCAAATGCCTTGAATTTTTTAAAAAGACGACAGATTTGATTAAGGAATGGAATTAGGATAATTTTCATCCTAATCTTATGTATTGAAAACTTTTATTACGAATTAATTTTTATGTCTTCTCTAATATAACCTTGCTATTTTTACCGTGCGCCGTAGGACCGTACCTTGTGCATATTCAAGCAGAATAAAATCTTTATTTTTGAATATATATTATCAAAAACATTATGATTCACTTAAATATGATAAATAAACATTTACTGAAAATTTCAGCTTAGTGCGCCCATCACTTTTCGAGAAAAACGCTTTGTCCACGATTTTATGGGACAACCCTCGTATATTTTGACGTTACAAAATCAGCCCCAATACTGTGCGCGAACCAATCAAGGGCCCAAGGGGGCATGAACAATTGTGTGTAAATGTAATCAAAAAATTATCTCCCGTAATACGCAAGGGTTTTTAGCTTTTAACCACTTTCTTTATGTGACGTCATATATTTCATGCCTGAGAGGTTTTCAGCACCGATTTTAGTGCACCCTGACCAAATGTAAGATACACCACTGACTAATTTCCGTAATTTTAGGCAAAATATTTTGGAATATTATGTTCTCATTGGTGTTTTTCCCTTTCAGTATGCCAGAGACCTTATACGGAATTATAAATATAAGAATCGTATTTGCTCTGCTCCTATTTTGTATTGTTTGAATGAACTTTTTAATTCGACATACTGTTCGTAATTTCCCTACATTTCATATTAACAGTGTATTTAATACCGAATTCCCTCTATTCTGAAACGAAAGTAGATTCTCCTTTGTTCAAAATCAAATGATCAAAATACCAAACCTAATGTGCTAAATTAGAGAACCCCGAAAGAATGAGTTGAAAAGAAGAAAGCAGAAGAGATTATATGGTACATGTAAATGTAATATTCTACCCCGACTGTACACATACCTGTAGGAACACGGCCACAAACCAGCTACAGAAAAATGTAAAGGCACCGTGTAATTCATGGACTGGAGTCTTGGAGTGGAGTTATGGAGTGGAGTTTGGAGTCAATTTTTGGAGTCAAGCAAAATTGCGTTTGTTAATAGAAATAGAGATCAGAAGAAACTAGTTTTTTCACTTAAAGCATAAACATTAATAGAACACACACACGTTGAATTAACAATTCAAGGATTGTTTTTAGCTAACAAGCACACAATAATTTTGACTGTGAACAAGCACTCTACCGGTTACCTCTCATATATGTATGCTCTCTTTTTGGGGTTCATTTAGGCTTTATTTTTTTTATATAAAAAAATATTAATTTGTATTGCTTGCATAAATATTAATTACCCCTCTGTGTCCCCCAAATTATTTGGATTAAGGTATCCTGACATTACATAAACTAAAAATAAACGGTCATTCACCACAGTTTAATCAGCATCTCTGAAACTGTGTGAACAAGCCTGACCTTTCACTTAGTCTCAAGAGTAAAAAAATTCTGTTAATTATCTATATAGATGTATCTATATATCATTTACCCTTTATTCTTTCTAACTCAGCATTTTGAGTTTATCAACCAGATGTGGGTACCAGTAAATGAATTTGACAGTTCGCCTATAAATTTGATATTTTAATTTCTACAACTCTTCCAGTGTAGGGACTCTCGTGACTTTTGTTTCAATGTAATTATATAAAGCTGGTTACATTATCTTGATTCATGTATATTTTAGCTTCATTCACATCCTGTCCCTGTGTACTGTATAACTTTCTGTAAATTCCAATTAGTCATAGATTTCATATTTATAATGCTTTGTAAGTGAAATTTTATTAAGTCTTCGGTCAATTCT